TTTTGTGATGCGTGCTGAGTTCGGAGGAAGTTCCTTGATACCTGCTGAGACTGGAGGGCAGATAAAGGCCCTAAGGAGTGTTTAGAATTACAAAAGTCCTGTTAGCATTGCTGACACTAAAAGGTTTCTGGTTAAAGATTTTCCTGGAGGCTGCTAGAACTCTGGCTTCAGATTGACTCACACTATGAGCTGGGTTCGACTCAACGGCACATAACAACAACATCAACAATAATTATCCTTTTTTGATAAGCCCCAATATGTCAGGTAGTATTCTAACCACATTACCTTCCTCTAATCTTTGTAATAGGAGCTCTGGTAGCATAGTGCCTAAGGCACTTGACTGCTAACCCGACGGCTGGCAGTTCAAACCCACCAGCCACTCCTCGGAAGGAAGGTTGGGCAATCTAATTCTGTAGTGATACTGCCTCGGCAACAAAAGGGGGGGTTGCTATGAGTCAGGGCTGACTTGACGGCACACGACAACAACAACAACAATCTTTGTAATTGTCCTAATAAGTATTGTTATTCCTGTTTTATAGAAAACTTTTTTTTTTAATACTTCAGGGACATTAAATAACCTGAGCTAATATTTGAACTACCTAGATCTGTCAGACTCCAAAACCTGTGCTACCTTTTAACTGTCTGTATATAGGGAATATCAAAGAAATGGGACAGGAGATGCCAAATCACCTTAGACAAGACCTCATGCCAAAAATGTGGAATGATAAATAGAGCTCCTCAACTTCATTTCAAAAAGGCTTCGACGGCAGCAGTCCAGGGTCTGAAGAGCAGGCTAGGGGGTGGAGTTCTACAGACCATGTGGCCATGTGCAGAACAGAAATGCTTGGGTAATACCTTATACGTGCACTCTGATTTCAAAGCATGTTTACTGTATTTGCCTAGTATAGATTGTTAAAACATTTTGGGTTTAAAGATGATTGATAATAATAGAGACAATACAACTCTATAAATGGAAATGGCTTTGTAAACAGGTTAAGTTAAACAAACAGCTACTACATACAACTGCAGTGTTTTCAGAGTTTTGTTCTGTTTTTGCTTTTAAGTATGTGATTACTGGTGAGGCCCATTTGAAAGTCTGTATTTTCAGTCACCACTATGCTTATGTTCAAATGATTAAACTTGTGACTTGTACACTTCTACTTTCTGAAAAAGTGTGAGTATAAAGTTGGGTGAATGAAGCTTGCACTGTTAAAGAGAAGCTAAAATCTTGACAGAAGAATGATATTAAAACACAGAACATCACAAATGAAAAATATTTATTTTAAAAAAGGCAGAATGGACTTCTGCTTCCACCAATGAAAGAAAAACTGACATGGGACTTTTCCTGGTATTGCAACTAATTTTAAAAACTGGGGTGGGAGGAAGTGTAAAAAAAAAAACAAAACTATTTTAGGATACCAGACAACATGAAGTACAGGACTATGAGCCCTGAAACAGATACGGTGAGCCCTATAATCACTTCATCTTTCTACCTAGACAAAATTTCCAAATAGCAGTACAGGTAGGAGAAATCCAAAGAAAGCCTGATGGTCTTACTAATTGGAAGAGGCAGAGGTTTGATAAAGCTGAGGGAACTAGAATTTGCCAGGCAGAGTATCAAAGAGCAGGGAATTGTGAAAAATAAAAGAGAGAAAGAAATAGATCCAAAAATTTATACTCTTGAGATCCTGGCTGAATACCAATTTAGGCATTGTAGAGGTCAGGCAAAGAACAAATGCTAGGCAAAGAAAATTTAATGGGGAACTGTAAGCCAAACATTTCCCAGAGGTCAAGTGGGATCAGGAATCATGTGAGTTCCCATCATTCCAAGTGGAAAAAATCTCACTGAGTAAACAATGCATATACTAAAGACCACAGAAGTAGGCTAAACTAGCCCTAGAATAAAGAGTTTCTAGATGTGGCCTAAAAATTTTGAAATCTAGTCCTGAAAGGACTGAACTGATAGGAAGGTTAATATGACTATCTTCCAGAACAAAGGCTAACACTCTTTATAAATGAATACAACAAAATCCAGTTCTCAACAGTGCAAAAGTCACAAGGTCTGGCAATCGATAAAATTACTACACAGGTGAAAAAGCAGGAAAATGTAATCAGGGATAACCAGGAGAAAAATCAGACAATAAAAACTGAAAGAAATGATGGAATTAACAGAAAATAGTTCAAAACAGCTATTTTTAAGTAATGTAAATATGCTCAAGGATTTAAAGGAAAACATGAACACAATGAGGAGATAAATATATCAGAAAAGGCAAAAGGAATTCTTAGAGATGAAAAATATAATATCTGAAATGAAAATTTCACTGGATAGAAATAACAGAAGATTAGATACTGCAGAAGGAAAAAAGGTGAGCTGGAAGGCATTATTAGAAACTATATAAAATGAAGTACAGAGCAGGAAAAGAAAGTCTGAAAAATAAATGAAAAGAGCCTCAGTGACTCTATCATACAATATTAACTGACTTACCATATGTGTAATTGTAGTCCCAGAAAAACTAGGGAGGTGAGAGGCAGAAAAATATGTGAAGAAATATTTGGCCAGAACTTTTCTAAATGTTATGAAAACTATACACTCACAGTTCTAAAGAAGCCAGAAAAAAAGACAAATTAGGTACAGAGGAACAAATAAGAAATATCATAGATTTTTTTGTCAGAAATTATACAGACCATAGACAGTGGAATGATATCATTAAGGTGCTGAAAGAAAAAGAACTTGTCAACCTAGAATTCTATGTCCAATGTAAATAGCTGTCAAAAATGAAAGCAAAAATAGACTTTTTCAAACAAATTAATATTAGACAATTTGGTGACAGCAAACTTGCACTACAATAAATGTTAAAGGATGTGTCAAGCCCAGATGACAACACTTAAGAAAGAAGTAATACCAATACTACAACTATTTTAGAAAATAGAGGAGAAAGGAACATTCCTAAATTATTTTCATTTTCTAATACCAGCATTGGGAGCTCTCGTAGCATAGTGCCGAAGGCACTTGACCGCTAACCAGAAGGCTGGCAGTTCAAACCCACCAGCCACTCCTCGGAAGGAAGGTTGGGCAATCTACTTCCACAGTGACACTGCCTTGGAAACCCATCGAGGGGTCGCTATGAGTTGGGTCCGACTCCACGGCACATAACAACAACAACAATAATACCAGCATTAACCTGATACCAAATCCAAACAAAGACATTATGAGGGGAAAAAAAAAAAAATCACACAACCAAATATCCTCCATGAATATAGACATAAAAATCCTTTACAGAATATTAACAAATTGAGTCCAGAAAAAATAATAAGCACAAATCAACACATAGGCTTATCTCTTATGATGCAAAATTGATCTAATATTTTTTTAAAATGGTGTAATTCACTATACTAGAGAATAAAAGAGAAAAATCCATGTAATTATCTCAACAGATTCAGAAAAAAGCATTTACCAATTAAGAACTCTCAGTAAAGTAGGAATAGACAAGAATTTCCTCAACTGATAAAGGGAATCTACAAAAAACCTTTCCTACTTAGGGTGAAAGATTGTATCTCAGACCAAACCAAGGTGAAGATACAAAGGTTTGCCACCCCTATTGTATTAGAGATGCTAGTCATTACAATAAGGCTCAAAAAGGAAATAAAATGTATACTGAAAGAAATGATGGGATTAACAGAAAATAGTTCAAAACAGACAGAAAAAGAAGACAAAGTTATCTTTATTTACAGATAACATGTTATTATACATAGAAAATCCTAAGGAACTTCAAAAAAGCAACTAGAACTAAAAAATCAGTTTAGAAAGATCACATGATTCAAGTCAATACACTAAAATCAACTGAGTCTCTATATAGTAACAAGAAAAAAACTGAAAAATAAAATTTTTAGAATATCATTTACAATGGCATCACAAAATATGAAATATCTAGGGATAGATTTAACAAACTATGGGCAAGAGCTGTACAATAATAACTATAAGACATTCCTGAGTCAAATTAAGGAAGACTTAAATAGATGGGAGATCTGGTGGTGTAGTGCCTATGGCATTTGACCGCTAACCAGAAGGCTGTGTTTCAAACCCACCAGCCACTGCTAGGAAGGAAGATTGGGTGATCTACATCCCTAGAGATACTGCCTCAGAAACCCAAGGAGGGGTCGCTATGAGTCAAAACCGACTCAACGGCAGTGAGTTTGGTTTTTGGAAATAAATAGATAGAGAATGATCATGGATTAGAAGTTTCAACACAGTTTAGATGCCAGTTCTCCTCAAAATGGTCTATAAATTAAATGACATCACAGTAATAATCCAAGAATAAACTTGCTTTTTGTAGAAATCAATAAACTGATTCAAAAACTTATATGCATATACAAAGAATTTAAAATGCCAAAGTAACATAGTTGGAGGACTTACACTACCTGATTTCAAGACTTACTTTAAAACTACAGTGATCTCTCAGGTGTGGTGTAGGCACAAGAAAAGACATATGAATGAAACAGAGTAGAGTTTAGAAATTGACCCACATATACAGTCAATTGATTTTTTACAAAGCTGTCAAAGTAAGCAGTGGGGAAAGGATATTGCTTTCAAAACCAGGTCTTAGAATAATTGGATATCCATATGAGAAAATTGAATCTTGATACCTTACACAAACCTTACTCGATACCATACACATATTAACCAAAAATGTATCATAAACTAAAACATAAAAGCTGAAGTATAAAACTATAAAATTAAACAGAAGAAAATCTGCAACTCTGTGGTAGTCAGTGACTTTTTAGAGAGAACATAAGAGACAATAACAATAAAAGAAAAATTTGATCAATGAACTTGATCAAAATATAAAACACCTGCTCTTCAAAAGATACCATTTAGAAAATGAAAACTCAACCCACAAATTTGAAGAGAATAATTGAAATATATATATCTGACCAAGAACTGGTATCCAGAATATATAAATGACTTTCCAACTCAAAATCAATTAAATATAACCCATTTCAAAAAATGGGGAAAGTTTTGAATAGATACTGCACAAAAGAAGATATACAAAGAGCCAATAAGAACATGAAAACATGCTCAATAGCATTAGTCACCACAGAAATGCAAACTAAAACTAGAGTGACCTACTACTACATACCTATTGTTGCTGTCAGCAGCCTTCAAGTTGGCCCCCCAACTCATGGTGATTCCATGAACAACGGAATAAAACTCTGCCCAATGAATTGGTTGTGGATCAGACTGTTGTGATCTCTAGGGTTTTTATTGGCTGGTTTTCAAAAGTAGATCACCAGGCCTTTCTTCACACACACTTTGTCTTAGTCTGGATGCTCCACTGAAATCTGTTCAGCATTATAGCAACATGCAAGCCACCACTGATAGCTAGGTGCTGGCTGCACATGAATTGTATTCAATTCACTGGGAATCAAACCTGAGTCTCCCCCATGAAAGGAAGAATTCCACCACTGAACTACCACACACAGCCCTATGTGTGTGCGAAAGGACTGACAACACCAAGTGTTTGCAGGATGTGGAGCAACCAGAATTCTCACACACTGCTGGTGGGAATGTAAAATGGAGGGAATTATGTAACCTCGAAAAGAGTCTGGCATCTTCTTACCAAGTTAAATATTAAAAATAAATAAATAAAAAATTTAAGTTGTTGCCAAATCATTCCAACTCATGGTGACTGTCATTACCATTATGACCCAATAATTCTATTTCTAGATATTTACTCAAAAGAAATGAAAACATATGTCCACACAAAGATTTGTACATTAATGTTCATGGCAGCTTTATTCATAATAGCCCCAAAGTAGAAACAACCTAAATGCCCATCAAGAAATGGGTAAACCAACTGTGGTATAGCCATACACTAGAATACTACTCAGCAATAAAAAGGCATCAACTATGATACAGGCAACAACAAGGATGAATCTCAAAACAATTATGCTGAGTGAAAAAAGCCAGACACAACAGACTATGCATTATGTGATTCCATTTACATGAAATCCTATAAAGGACAAAAATATAGTGACAGAAAGTGGGACTGACTAGGAAAGGGGAGTGGGGAAGCTTAGGGGAGATAGAAATGTTCTATATCTTAGTTGTGGTGGTAGTTACATGGATGGTTATGTTTGCCAAAATTCATTAAGCTGAAGTGTTATGGATTGAACTGTGTCCCCCAAAAAAGAAATATGGAAGTCCTAATTCCTATACCTATAAATATGACCCAGCTTGGAAATAAAGGGCTTCTTTTGTTATGCTAAGGAGACCATAGGAGAGTAGGGTGGGTCCTAAACCTAGTAACTTCTGAGTGATATCTTATAAAAAGAGCGGAATAGACACACACACACACACACACACACACAAGGGAAAGACAAACTCTTTATGAGGACCTATTTATAAGGCAAGGAATACCAAGGATTGCCAACAGACAACAAAAACTAGGAGAGAGGCCCACGGAAGAAACTGACACAGACAAGACCCTGATTTGGATTTTTGGACTTTTAGCTTCCAGAGCTGTGAAAAAAGAAATCTCTGTTCTTTAAAGCCACCTATTTTTGATATTGTTCATGATGGCAGCACTATGTAAGGAAGACATATATATATAATTAAAATGGCTGTATTTTATGATATGTAAATTATACTTCAATAAAAATTGATTTTAAAAATAGAAAGAAAGTCAAGGGCAGGGAGAGTTAATTAATTAGATTAGACCTATTATTAATAACACCCTACTCCTGGCCATGTGACAGTTACAAGAAGGGGCAATCAGAGCCCACTGGGAACATTTAAAACTGGTCCTGGAAGGGAGAAGTTGCTACTGACCACATGCTCACTACATGAGGAAAACTCAAATCCTAGAAGAGCAAGAGGCTAAGAAGGGAAATAGAGGCCAAGGTGTCTGAGCCCTTGGATTCTGGCTCCTGCTGGGCCTTCCAAAAACAGCCCCCACACACATATCCTCAACACGTTGGCTGTTTTGGTTTAAGACAGTGTGGTTGGGTTTCTGTTATATTTCACCAGAAGGGTTCTTATTGGACCAGAACACTGAGCTTTGAAGAAAGTATGTTCCAGGCAAGAGGGTGGGAATATGGGGGATGAGGCGGAGAGGGGCTGCTTTTGCCTCTGGTTTGTAAACCAGGAGCCAACAAGGAAAACAGACTTTTGGTCAAGGCCTGCTATTGCCAGGAAAGTAGATGGGGAAAGAACAAGCAATGCAAGCCCTACTAAGAAACAATTTGGAAAGGAGACCAAGGGGCTGCACTCTACTTGGACCAAAGCTGTGCTCTTCCTTTCTGGTCTCCCTCAACCCCAGCAGAGCTCACTATGTGGCCCCACGTGGCTGTGTTAGGTCATAGAAGGACCATCAAGTCACTCAGCCCCTCTTGCTCTCTCCTCCCTCTGTCCTACTCTGGTTACCTGCTTCTTAAAGACATGTCAAATATCCTACCCCACAAATTATTTACAACTTGAGATATAGTAGAACCAGGGCTGGACAAAACCAACAGTTGTTGAGGCTGAGAGAGCTCTTGATATACCTGAGCAAACTGACTCACCACGACTTTCCTCACGATTTCCCAGCTAAGAGCCCTAGAGGAGCACCCCCTTTGCCACCCCAACACATGAAAACATGTCTGTATTTATTTGCAGGGCTTTTACTAGTGATAACTCACCTGTGCCTAGAGCTATGTCACTAGGTACGTGACCTCATTCCATGTTCACAGCAAACTGTGTACTTGTTTAGAGGTGATTCCTAGTAAACTAATGAGAAAATCAGCTCAGAGTTAAAGAGACCACCCAAACTCACAAGTAGTGGATAGGTGGGTTTGATTCCAGGTCCATTGTTTTTCCCCTACACCTGTCTACCTCCCTAGAGTGTGTGTGTGTGTGAGAGAGAGATAGAGAGAGAGAGAGAGAGAGAGGGAAGGAGACGGACAGGGAGAGGGAGACAACCTCTAGAGTAGAAGGTGCTGTTCAGTTCAGGGCAGGAAAGGTCCCTCTTGTTTGATGTCAGGCATACAACACACAGTGGCCCACCACTTAATAATAACCCAGGAGTCCTGGGGGAGAATTCCTTCCCTTTTTTGTATCTGTTTCCTTAACTGTAAATGGGATTAATGGCCCTTAAGCCAAGGGTCCACAAAGCTTTTCCATAAAGGGCTAGAGAGTAAATATATTAGGTTTCGAGGCCTTTGGCAAATACGAATCTTACACTTAAAGCATGAAAGCAGCGATATACAAATACATAACCTAATGAGCACGATTGTATTCCAGTAAAATTTTATTTCTGGACAGTAAAATTTAAATTTCATGTAACTTTCATGTGTCACAAAATAGTGTTCTTTTGATTTTAGGGGATCTGGTGGCGTAGTGCCTAAGACTTTTGACTGCTAACCATGAAGGCTGGAGGTTCAAACCCACCAGTCACTTCTCCGAAGGAATACTGGGGAAGTTGGGCAATCTGCTTCCGTAGAGTTACTGCCGCGGAAACCCACGGAGGGATCTCTATGAGTCGGGATCCACTGGAGGCAGCGAGTTTGGTTGGTTTTTTTTTTTTTTTTTTTGGCCCTGTGTTACTGAGTTTCTGTGAGGACCAAAGTGTCACTGCTCCAGAGGAAGGCACTTTGGGGCTAGTAGGGGGCTCGGCTGCGTCGGGGACCCTTAGACCGAAAGGCACCCTGCTTCCCGCGCAGTTTCACGCTGTGGCTTACCCGCTGATGGCTCTTGGACCCCCTCCCCGGAGCACCCTGAAGGGCTGGGCCCGAGTATCTCACTCACCCAGAGCCCCAGCGCAGAGCAGGGCACAGACGGTGAACCTCATTCTCTGTGCGTGCGCTTGTCCCCAACCCCGCGTCTCAGGCAGTTTTTACCAGCCAGGAGTCGGGAGGATCCGCCTTTTTCTGTGTTTTCGTGAGCAGGGACTGGTAGCCTTCGCCACTCCCTCCGCAGCGTCCCCGGGTCAGCCCTGGAGCACCCAGTGCCCTCAGTGAGGCTGGAGGGCAGCGCTGCGACCCATTAGCCCGCAGACTCACGGCTGCCCCTTTGCCCCGGCAGTAGGGGCTTGGAGGCTGGACCTCCGCTTGCGTGGGAGGGGTCAGCATCCCCGAGATACGCAGTAACCTCGGAGCTCCCTTGTCTATCCTCCGTAATCCACACAGAGAGAAACTGGACCCCAAGGCGAGGATGATCCCTTAATTACTAGAATCCCTGGCCCTGGGGCCATTATTCTAGGCAAGAAACTCCTAAATGTTTCGGAGACAGACGCCACAGATCTAGAGAGCAGTCCACAGGATGAAAACTGTGGACACTTCACGCAGAAATACAGGTGCACTGCATACGCAACGTTCTGAACAGTTTTCAGGGATTCTCAAGCTCTTCCTCCTCAAGCTTCTCCCTTTGATCCCTCCAGACCCCTTCCCGAAGCTCCCTCAGATGACAGACAGTCCCCTACAACCTTATGCTTTTGCGAGGCTGAAGCCAGTGAAGTTGAAAGTCGGCCTCACCTCTGCAGCACGATCCACCTGAGATATCAAGTCCGTGAACTCTGTCCCTTTCCCCATGGCTGGAGGAACTCACTGCTATCGAGTTGGATCTAGCTCATAGCGACCCCTCCTTGAGTTTCCGAGGCAGTATCTCTACAGAAATAGATTGCCTGAAGGAAGCCTTATAAATTTAAATTAAAATTTAAGAACTTTTCATTGAAGTATAATAAACACGTTTATTCACATCCTAAGTGATTATCTCATGACCAGGTTGTAGCCAGATTGTAACCAGCCCCTGAATGAAGAAACAGAATGTTAACAGAGATGAGAGGTCCCCCTAGTATAGTGGCATCACCAGGGGGACATGGGAGTGCTTACTGCACTGCACTGGGTGACACTCCGGTGTGTGTGTGTGGGGGGGGGTGTGACACCAAAATAACTATCTATAAAATTTTTGTGCAGTGTTTCAGCAGAAATTTATTATTTTTAATTAAAATATTGTTAGAACTACTGTTGTTGTTATGTGCCCTCGAGTCGGACCCGACTTATAATGACCCCTCCTTGGGTTTCCGAGGCAGTATCACTACGAAAGTAGATTGCCCAACCTTCCTCCTGAGGAGTGGCTGGTGGGTTTGAACCTCCAGCCTTCTGGTTAGCAGTCAAGTGCCTTCGGCACTATGCTACCAGAGCTCCATTAACAAAACATTTTTCATAAGCCCAGCTTACATGTATCGGTATGGCTACAAGGCTGAAATTCTATGCTAATTTACTTTTTGAACCTTCTAATGTGTGCCTTTGATGCCTTTGAATTGTGATGTTGGCGAAGAATACTGAAAATATCACTAACTACCAGAACAAACAAATCTGTCCTGGAAGAAGTGCAGCTGGAATGCTCCTTAGAAGCAAGAATGGCCAGACTTTGTCTCACCTACTTTGGTCGTGGTGTCAGAAGGAACGATTCCTTGGAGAAGGATATCATGCTTGGTAAATTAGAGGGTCAGGAAAAGGGGGAAGGCCCTCGACGAGATGGGTTGACACAGTGGCTGCAACGATGTGGTCAAGCATAGCAAGGATTGTGAGGATGGTGCAGGACCGAGCAGTGTTTTGTTCTGTTGTACCTAGTGTCACTATGAGTTGGAAAGGAAATGGCACCTAACGATAACAACACTGTGTGCCAGTCAGAGCTGTCATTGTTATCCAATTACAATGATGGCTGGAATTATGTGGCTTGGCTACAAGCACCTGCTGTTGCCTTTGTTATTGCCAATGTTTCTGTAGTTGCTGATTTGTCAAATTTTCTGGTGTTTTAGCTACAATATTGTTGTAATTTGTATTTTGAACTTAAATCAATAATTCTTTTGAGAGTGAAGTAGTAATTAAAGAAAAAGAAGAACAAATCAAAAAAGGCTTCTGCTCAGTTACTAATAATCTAGTAACTAATAATGTTGTAATTCAGTATAGAAATAAACTTTACAAAACAATATAATCTAAAATGTGTTACTTTAAAGCAATTTACAATTACATTTATCACACATTATTCTATGATTAAAATTGATTGAAAAAAAATACATTACCGAGGATTCTGTATAGTCTGGTATAGGAGGAGGTCCATAGGTCCCCAGGAGAGACCATGAGTTACCACACTGGGTGACACCAACCCTACTGATGTCATTGTCCTGGTGTCCTTTACTAGTCACTTCCCATTCTCCCTCACTCTTACTGCAAAGGTAACTTTTATCCTGGCTTCTAACAACATAGACTGATTTGCTGATTTTCCAACTTTATAGAGATGGAATCACATTTTATGTACATTTTTATGTCTGGCTTCTTTCACTCAAAATTGTGTTCATGAGATTTATTTATGTTGTGTGCAGTTGTCATTCATTTGTTCTCAGTGTTGTTTATTATTCCATTATTCCCTTGTGTGTATGTAGCCCATGTTTTATTATCTTTCCTGTTCATGACAGTAATTTGGTTAGTTTGCAGTTTTAGCTCTTATGGATAGCGCTGCTAAGAATATTCTGGTACATGCCTTTTGGTGCATATAGGTAGCCATTTCTGAAGGAGAGTTCCCCAGGAGAGTAATTACTGAGTCATAAGATAGGCATGTATCCAATTTTAATATACACTTGCTGTGGTGGTGAAGTTTGTGTGTCAGCTTGGCTGGCCTTGGTTGAGTGGCTGGACAGCTAAATGTAGTTATTCCCCATGATGAGACTGGCAATCATCTCCATGGTAAAATCTATTGGAGCAGCTGAGTAGCTGCCTTAGGGATGTGGTCTGCTTCCTGCATTTAAGAAACAGCTTTGGGAATGGTCTCTAGCTTATGGCAGACTTGAACCCTGCATGTAGTCAAGTCGTTGTTCAGCAGCCTGCCATTCTCTGCTGATCCTGGGACTTTCAATGGACTTGAATCAATGGCCTGCTGTGTGGTTTGGTAACATCGGGACTGTGCCATTTTATTTGTCGGCCTCGGGCTCGTTAGCCTCAGCAGTCAGTAGCTGCCTGAGTGAAGAGATGCCTCTAGTTTCAGTGGACCAGGAGCAAGAGGCAGAGCTGAAGCCCAAGGTTAAGGGGCTTTCATGTAGCCTCTAGAGCCTGGCATTTGGACTCGGACTTCTAGCCTCCCAAACTGTAAGAGAATAAACTCCTGTTTGTTAAAGCTATCCCATTTGTGGTATAGTCTTGTCAAAATGGCACTAGGTAACCAGAACACTGGCAAACAGTTTTCCAAATTGGTTGAACCAAATTACACTCCCACCAGAAGAATAAAAGAGTTTGGTTGCTCCACAGTTTTGCTATTTTGGTATGAGTGTTTGTGTTTTGCCCTGTAGTTTTCAGCTTCTCTCATGATTAATAAAGTTGAGCATTTTTCACATATGCACTGACCATTCAGATCCCCTCTTGTATATAGTACCAGTTCAAGTTTTTTTGCCCTGAATACCTTTTAAGCAGATTTTCTATTGAATTAATTTTGGGGAATGGAAATGTAGTAATTCAAACTACAAACCAAGATTCATCTGATAAAGCATTCTCAGAATTGGGCCACAAGAATGTAAGAATGTAATTTTAAGAATGTAAAATCACTACCCACTATGTTTCCTATCTTTTGAGTTGCTGTTATCAGTTTGATCCCACATAGATAGTTCTTTAAAAAGCACAAGATTCAAGGCAGATATTCTTTGCTAGATAAGCTAAACTATTATTTGGTTTTAAGAAGACTTCAGAGAATATTTGCGGTTCAGGGTTTAAAAATTATCTCAGGGCAATAGTTTCAGGGATTCATTCAGCCTTCCAAACAAAACCAAACCCACTGCCATCCAGTCAGTCTCAACTCATAGCGACCTCTTCTTGGGTTTCCAAGGTGGTATCACTACAGAAGTAGATTGCCCAGTCTTCCTTCTGAAGAGTGGCTGGCGGGTTTGAACTGCCAGCCTTCTGGTTAGCAGTCAAATGCCTTAGGCACTATGCCACCAGAGCTCTGGAAAAGATGGATTCCATGATATTTTGAAATTTTGTTCTGCATTTTCTCCCTTTTGATCAGGATTCTTCTATAGACTCTTTGATCAAAACATTTAAGAATGGTAGCTGGGCACCATCCAGTTCTTCTGGTATCATAGTAAAGGAGGCAGTTTTTCATGGAGGCAATTAGCCATACATTCCTTATCTTTTTCCTATACATGACTCCCCTTCCTCTGTTGTCTAGGGGAATAGAGACCAATTGCTGTGCCTTGGATGGTCACTTGAAAGCTGTTAAGACCCCAAGTACTCTGCAATGAACTAAGAGGTGTAACGGAAGAACTAAACTTGTTAATAAGCCAATTAACTGGGATATCCTATGAAACCATGACCCTAAACTTCCAAACAAAGAAAACAAACCCCATGAGGTATCTGGTTGTACATAACTAGTCTTAGCAGTTGCTCTTTTTTTTGTTGTTGTAAATATATCACACAATCCTCGCCAATTTTTTACAAGTGTACAACTTATTGAAAGCAATTACATTAATCGACTGTGCAACCCTACAAAATGAAATTTTACCATCACGGTAAACTGAAATTCATTGCTCTGTAAGCAATAAATCCCCCTTTTCCCCTCCTCCTGCCCCAGGTAACCCATAATAAACTTTTGTCTCTATACATTTGCCTGTTCTTTTTATTTAAGTGAGGTCATACAATATTTGTCCTTTTGTGACTGACTTATTTCACTTGGCATAATGTCTTCAAGCTTCATGCATGTTGTATCAAGACTTCATTCCTCTTTCTGAGTAGAATTTGTATATACAACATTTTGTTTATCCATTCATCTGTTGGACTCTTGGGTTACTTCCACATTTTGGCTATTTTGAATAATGTTGCAGTGGCCACTGGTGTGCAAGTGTCTATTTCTATTCCCTGCCTTCAAGTTCCTTGGGTATATTCTTAACAGTGGAATTCCTGGGTTGTATAGTAGTTCTAGGAGCTCTGGTAGCGTAGTGCCTAAGGCACTTCACTGCTAACCAGAAGGCTGGCAGTTCAAACCCACCAGCCACTCCTCGGAAGGAAGGTTGGACAATCTACTTCCGTAGTGATGCTGCCTTGGAAACCCAAGGAGGGGTTGCTATGAGTCGGGTCCAACTCAA